ATATTATTTTTCTAATACATAATAAATATATTACATAGGAATACAATGAGAGACTCAAACACTACTTTTATACATTGAATTCATTAACATGAGAAAAAAAAATCCTCAATAATAAAGAGAAACGATAAGCATAACGTAATTCCTATTTGGCTATTACTGATAAGAGAAGCTACTGAAACTTTTTTTTTTTTGATTTATTTATTTCATCAGGATTTATCAATTCAGATGATATTTTAGCATACCCACACTACAATAAGATCATAGACAAGCTTCTAGTGGATGCTCCACCAAAAGCGTTTAGTAGATCTTTTATACAAGAGATTTATAAATTACCACGATGTTGATAGAAATTTAATTATATTTCTTTTTTAAAAAAAGCATTCTGAATGGTGTAGCTAATGTTCTATACTTATGAAGTATTTAAGATCTGAGTAAATACAGTTATTTCAAATATTATTCTATCTGGATATTCCATGATACTTTTATTTTAGTCAAATCTATGATGTTATCAATTTTATCATACGACTCTTGACTATCAATTACTTTGTGTAAATTGTTTAAACACGTTTTTGGAACATCACATCTCATTGTTTAAAGAGTTGATAGTCATAGTGTTTAAACGTCGTCTGTTCTATTGCGTTTTTGGCCTGGATTTGCTTGAAAATAACTGATAAAGAATTGAGATTTTGCATTGTTTACATGTTATTTTAAACAATTAGGAGACTCTTGCCAATTTTGAACGCTGCTAAAATGAGATCCTATTAACTTCAACTGAAAAATCTTCCAATGATAGACTTTGATTCAATGGATAATTATGAATAATTTAATGTGCTTCTTTAGTAACAAACAAAATATTCATTCAGATGTATCGGCTGAAACATTGTCTTACTTTGTTGACTTTAAGTACATTTAGCGAGATGTTGTACCCCATTATCATCGATTTGATTCTCATCAAAATGCAATTGGGTTATGATCTATATGAAAAAGTGAACAAGTAAACAAGAGACAGATAAATTGAAACTATGTCTCATCAATTTCCTCATCTGGTTGATTGAAAATCAGTATGATCTTCAATAGATAAATATGCAGTAAAAAATGTGTTTATTTTGACACTATGGGTCTAAGTGTAGATGAAAAGAAGCATCGCAACTGTACCCATAGAAATATTGAAAATAGTTGAACTTTTGATTACTGCAGAATTATATAAATGACATTATTTTGAGGAATATCGAACACAAATATTTGAAATTTCCTTTTTTTTTCAAATATGGAACTCTACAACATCCGTATCTATCCATATATAGTTAATATATTCTAAAGATTTAAGCTCATATATTTTTTTTATCCTTTCAAAATTCAACTTTCAATTAAATAAAATTGTTTTCAATGACAATAGTACGCAGCAATATGTTCTTAGACAAAGTATCAACGGACATAGAAGAAGAAGAAAAAAGATTTCAACAATTATTTTCATGATCTATTTTAATCGAATGTGTAATCTGACTATTAATTAATAGCGTTGCGTGACAAAGAGAACCAACTCTTGAATATTTGACTCAATGGTTAACGCAAAAGATTTTTGGAAAGATCCATAAACATTAATCCTTTAACGGATGGTGATAAAAACATGCACTACTTTTTTGTTTTCGATTGCAGAATTATCATTAATTAGGATCTAATAATATAAATCGTGGTCTATTTGACTGCATCATCGATACTCACACAACTTACCAATCCAAAATCGATCCGTCAAAAATGTTAAGAAAATACTGAAAAAGTAACTTACTTTATTGACTTTGAGAGCGTCCGCCAAAATGCTGTGCTCCTCTATTCCCAATTTGATTAGTAGACAAGTACAATATGCTTAGTTTCTTAAGTGAAAAGTGAAAATGATTATTGAAATTGCATGACAATGTTGTTCTAACATCTATTTAAATGTAATAAGGCACAATCTATCGAATTTAGACCGCTACTTTGGTATCAGAAAGTCAGATTAAACTTTAGGTGGATTACAGAATATCTAGATGAGATTTCATGCAACTGCCAGGTTAAACATTCTTTTGCATCATTTTTAATGTTGTGTTCTCTGATTGTTTATGATCTTGAAATAAATACTATGCTGATTAAATAAACCATGAAATTGGAAGTGTTATTAACGTATAGTTAATTTTATAATTTGGTCAAATGCATTAACTCTACACACTAGAAGTTTCTTCAGATTGTTGCAATTGAATAGAAAAAGTATTAACTTATTTCAAAAATTAAAATGATCAATTCATCATAAAATTCTATTAGAAAATTTTATTCTAGTTCCAAGCTATTTTCAATGCTTTTAGATTTATATTTATTTCAGCAATATACAATCGAAACCTAATAACATAAACTTGCCTAGAAATAAATCGGCTATCTGAATAATACAGATATTTAAGTTACTTCATTTGAGACTGTCTTATTATGCTACTAAAAATATGATTATTTATATTGGAAAGTTAACAATTCAACTTTTTTTCTTAAAGAATGACCAAAAGCTTGAATAAAGCGATATTTCTCAAGATAATTTACAACAAAAGGATATTTATAAACATAATCTTTTGTTCGCCAAGACTTCTGCCAAATTCCTGATATGCGAATGATATTCAAAATGAGAAAGAATTTTTCGTTCAGATTATATGGATAAAAAAGAAGACTAAATCTTTTTGTTTTAATGGTATCATTCTGAATGATGGTGGATGATATTTTATGCTAATGAACAGTGCGAAATCTGAGTCCTTGTATAAATTGATAAATTTTCAGTGATTATCTGAACACATGTTCGAACAATACTTTTAATGAAGCGAACAGTTGCTAAACCCTAAATATTATCTGATGTCAGCTCGTCACAAAGTATAATTGAAATGTATTACGATTGAATTCGTTAACATTCTGACGTTCATGAAATCCAATAGAGAAACCTACAAAGATTTTCGAGATGATTTACACAAAATCAATTGATCTGATATTATAATAAATTAAAAAGTTCATCATTAAGAGTATTAGTCGATAATTTATTTAATATTCAATTTCGATTATATTCAATTTGAACTCGGTGTAGAATCATATCAATATGTAAAGAAGATCAAATGGGGATTTTAAACAAAACAGAAATCTAAAGAAACAAATTTCAATAGATACCTACTGTTAAATTTCATTAGAACAAACTTAAAGAGAATTATTAAGGGTGTGGGTGTGGATGTAGGTGTACATGTCTATGAAGACAATATGTACACCCACATCCACATCCCACACCCGTAATATTGTCATCTTCTTCCGACCTACTATCAAAAATCACAACAGAACGAAAGAAAAAGAAGAATAGAAAAAGGAAGAAGAATCTAGAGTGTATTCGTGTATATTTTGTAATTTGTATTTAAACTCTATGCTAATTCATTTCTATCAATAAAGTCTGAAGAAGGCAGCATCGACTTGCCGAAACGTCACAAATAGCAATAACAGTATTATTCAGGAAGAGATTTACTAGAACAATAATCAATTATGACCTTCCTTAACAAATATGAAGCGGATCAGTGTATTAATTGAAATATCTAAGGTAATTTTGAATAATTATCTTCTATTTTAATCGAACGTAATAGTGACACCGACATTTTTCGGTATCAAAGTAAGTCCTTGGATATATCCTCCAGAATTAACTTGAGAACCACCATCGCCAAAAGTTACATATTGCATAAGTCTAACGGCGATTGCTTTTAACTCAAAACGGGCTAAATCTTGTCCAATACATTGTCGATGTCCACTACCAAATGGAATCGATGCATATGGATGATGATCTTTATCTTCATTTTGAAAACGTTCTGGATAGAATATATTTGGATCAATTTTTCAACAGCGTTTATCTCGAGCCAAATTGAAAAATGAAATAAATACTTGATCATCTTTATGCAGTTTAGTATCAGTTCCAGGTAATCGATCGCCAGTAGTTAGCGTACGGACCGTACCACCGACGGAAGGAATAATACAAAAAAATTCTTGTATGACACAATCCAAATAGATCAAAGAATCGAGTTGTTCATTAGTTAACCGATTTTATCTATTGTCATCAATTTTAGCTTTGACTTTACTTTGTACTCGAGGATATTTGCTCATAAGGTAAATAAACCAAGCAAGTACAGATCCTGTTGACTCCGAACCAGCCACAAGAAAGAGAAGCATCTCGTGAAATATCTCTGTTCGAGATAGACCTTAACAAAATATAAAACATCAGAATAGAGTAAATATATGAAATATTTACCTTTCTTTTCTTCTTCTGGTTTTGTTGCTTCATGCTTTTCATCTTGTTGTAATGAGCCAATTAATGATGCAATCGAACTTATTCTTTTTCTTTGAGCAATTTCTTCCAGTGTTTTTCTTTGTTCTTGTTCAATCATTTGATTTAAATATTTACTAATAGTTACCATAGCATGACGATATTGAAAACTGAATTTCAAATAGATTTTGGTGGCGATGTGTGGCATTTGAAATGACTTTACGAATACTCCCATGAAATGGTATATAGCCATTGTAAGTTGATTTTTATTATTGATGTTCGATTCGTCTAATGTTTTCAAATCATAATCAAAACCAGTAAAACCAAAAATACCGAGTATTACATTTTGACATTGATTAACTGTATCAAGATGAATGTAATTGGGATCGTTGCCAGTTTTTGAACGCCATTGTTCGAGTAGTTTATCAGTACAATTAATGACAAAATCCAAATTGTTCAATATTCTGTTTCGACGGAATAAAGGAAGAACAATCGCTGCATGACGCTTGTACTTGGGTCCTATTATAGATATAATTAAAACAATATATATGTCTACAAATGCAATTCTCATTCTTTTTCCCTACAAAGATATTTTACGGTAACACTAACCTCTATTACACACAAGTCCGTGATGAAAAAAGAGACCATGGCGGTTGGCATTGAGATCGCCTGGATCATAAATTTGTTGATATGCGAACACATGTTGTACATCTTCAGGATTACATACAAAAATCAAATGCAGAGGTCCAAACCAAAATTGAAAGGTATCACCATATTTAGCTTGATATTGTAAAGCAATATTGCCAAAAAGTTCACCATGTGTAAAACCTGTTTGAACGATATTGCCGAATAGAAATTGAAGTAGTGTGCCAGGTATTGAACCATATAAAGTGAAATATTTCAGTTTGAAATATATCAAAACTATTGTTATTAGCAAAAGGCAAAGAATAAAAAACATATTGATGTGTACTTGTGGAGAACTTGGAAGAAAAACATGCTGAAACGGTTGATTTTTATCATGTTGTGCGCAGATAATACGAACGAAAAGAAAAGAGAATAACATGATAGCGACCACAATTACACGGTAAGAAGGTCAGGTGGACATACACGAAAGTATTCTTGAGGATGCGTGGGTGAGGAGAAGATGGTTACCCTCACCCACAGCACCTACCCTTGAGTGAAAAATGATGAAAGCGATCTAATAAATAAAGATAGTTTTATCTTTAACTAAACATTTTTAATTCGATTACTTTCGATTTTATCCTAGATTCAAAAAAAATATTTGTTATTACTGTTATATACAGAGGATGGCAAAATTATAGAAACTCCTACACTCAATGTAAAAAATTTAACTTTTCTTTTTGAGGGAAGGTCTGTTTACTCAATATATATGTTTGGTAGAAACATGAATATATATGATATACTGATATGTCTTTATTCTTTCTTTTCTTCTTTTATGCACGTGCAGAAATCGATAGAGAGAAAAAGGTGCTGTGGCCTAATTATAGAACCCGTTTGATATTTCTTTCCTTTCTTCTTTTGAATTGATTCAAAATCAACTTTCTCACTTTTTATTCACTCTAACAAACTTTGTCCAATTTCATTAAAAAAATAATGGGACGAAAAGCTGTTGATACTGCTATAAAAAGAAGCATTATTGTTCTACGCGATAGTGGTATGTCTCAACATGAAATTTCTCAAAAATTAAACATTTCTCGGCATTGTGTTAAACAAATTATTCGCAAATTTAATGAACTTCACACAGTAGCTACAAAACCTGGAGCTGGACGTCATTCGAAACTAACGGATCGTCAAAAACCAGCAATTCAATTACAACAAGTTCGCGATGATACTCTTTCCTTGACTGATCTTGTCCGGTACGTTCAAACAAATCTCAACCTAACTGTCAGTCGTCGAACATTGAGCCGTATCCTACACGAATTCGACATGATTTCCTATATTGCACCAGGAAAGCCTCGGATCAACTATAGGCAAAGGTGTGCTCGACTTCGTTGGTGCTACCAACATTTGACTTGGCCTGAAAAAGATTGGTCAAATATCATATTTACTGATGAAAGTAATTTTGAAGTATTGAATAGAAAGAATCGAATATATATACGTAGATTTCGAAATGATTTAAAACGATTCGAACGATCTCAACAGCGAGTCAATAGAGGTGGTGGTGTTGGTATTTGGTCTTATCTAACATGTCATGGTCTAGGGCCACTCGTTTTCTACGATGTGTCGTTAAATTCAGATAAATATATTGACATACTCGACAAGAATTTACCAACAGCATTTGAAAAATGTCTACCACATTCATCTCATGAAATTTTACTTCAACAAGATAATGCTCGTCCCATGTATCAATTAAAACACGAAAATATTTTAAGAAAAAACATCTTCATCCTATTCCATGGCCATCAAATAGTGGTGATTTAAATTTAATAGAGAATATTTGGTCTATGATCGATGATCAACTTCTTAAGTTTAATATTAATAATACTGAACAATTGAAAAACACAATGCAAATGGCATGACTGGAGATCTCAAATGATACAGTACGAAAACTCTTTCAATCCATACCAAAAAGAATTCGACAAATGATCAATCGTCGAGGTTTTGCTTATCGTTATTAGTCTTTCTATGTATTAAAAAGAAATAGGTATCAAAAATAAAAAGAAGAAAAAAAAAGAATCGACCGGGTTCTATAATTATGTCATAGCACTTTTTTCTCTCTATCGATTTCTGCACGTGCATAAAAGAAGAAAAGAAAGAATAAAGACATATCAGTTTATCATAGATATCCATGTTTCTACCAAACATATATATTCGGCAGACAGACCTCCCCTCAAAATGAAAAGTTAGATTTTTTACATTGAGTGTAGGGGGTTCTATAATTTGCCATCCTCTGTATATATAAGTCTTTAATAAAAGATACAGCTTGGTTAATGATTTTGAAATCAATTGAAGATTGATTGATTTAATTAAAAACAAATATATACCTCATTTTTTAGGAATATTGAGTCGAAACTTTTGCCGGATGAAAGTTAAATCGATAAATTGTATCTAATCATGTTTGACAAAACAAAAATTTGACTTTCGAATAATTATATACACATGTTCATGTGTTCGATTTTATTTTATTTATGAAATAAATCTTATCAGAAAATTTGATACTTATTCTCTTTATGATATTATATTGTTTTACTTGTTGTTTTTTATATTTATAGAATTATATTCAAATTGAAAAATATTATAACTAATTTTAAAAACTATCTTTTTAATCAGGGATGCAACAATATCAGTACCATTTGGTATTGGTTGGTATTGGCATGGATAGAAATGCCGAACTCGAAACATCTCACGTCCGACACAAGCTTAGCTTATATAGGACAGAAAGAGAGAACAGACTGTACACTAAGAAGAAACAATAATATATGGAGAATAAAAATAATGGAAGAGGCGAGAGAAAAAGCAGGCATGATGATGCAACAGTCACCACATTTCTAAGCCGACAAAAGGTTAGACGTCATGTTCAGGGTGTGAGGGTGACAGTCGGTGGGTGAGAATGATTGTCCTCATCTCACCCTCACCCTCATTTTTTCAATAAAATTGCGAATGGAAGTTTAAAGCAAATTTTTTCCAGTCTCCCTTATCCTTATAAATCGAGATCAAATGCCAATGGGCATAGTTTTCAACTCGTCTTTTAGCCATTGGACTTAAAGATCAGTTACTAAAGCTCCTCTCGCAGCGATGCAGAATTTGCCACAAAAATGAAAAATTTTTCGAACGCTAAAGTTGTTTGAAAAATTTCCCTGAATGAAAAAAAACAAAAATGGTTTTCTTGTTAGACGTGCGAAAACTTCCTCCCGGATTCAAGAAATTTCTTCGAACACTCGTCCACATACACAGTTAGATTCTGCATTTTTGTTCTCTTACCACACAACAAGTGAAGACTTAGACAAATGCAAAAAGAATCTAAAATCTTCCAAAGGCAAAATTTTTTCCCAACGTATAAGTTCTTAAAGAGGAGTTATCATCTGGTATATTAGAGTGTCTGGATTGCACATTTTCTGCTAATAAGACAAAGCTGGAAGAAAATGTGATTTCTACATTGAAGCCTATAATGCACTGTATTCAGAAGTTTTCTCAGCTTACTTTGAATGCTTAATTCGACGATATTTCTTCTGATCTTCATAGTTTAGTTTAGTCTAGATGTCCCCTTGATGTGCCCAAAGTATGGGCTCTAAAGCAGTTAAACATTTCGGATACCTGCTTCGTTAGAGACACATATCGAGTAAAAGAGATTTGTATAGAAACAATCCATCGTTATTAAAATGATACAATCGTGCTTTAAAGATAATTCTTGAAGACGAAACCAATCATATCATAGGTCAAAAGTCGTTTATATCTTTAATTTATTTGAAATGATCAATATAGTTCTGCACTGTTCAAAGCTCCATGACTATCCTTATGCCCACCAGTAACTAACACTTTTCCATTTGTTAATACGGATGCTGTATGATCAGATCGTGCCGTATTCATACTACCAGAAGTTGTCCAACTTTCTGCTAATGGATCATACAACTCAGCACTATCAAGATAATCAATGCCATCAAATCCGCCAGTAACTAATACTTTTCCATTTGGTAATACGGATGCTGTGTGATCAGATCGTCCATCATTCGTGTTGCCAGTAATGGTCCAAGTTTCTGTTGATGGATCATACAACTCAGACGTATCTAAATGGAAGCGATGAAATCCGCCAGTAACTAGAAGTTTTCCATTTTTTAATATGGATGCTGTATGCATATATCGTGCATCATTCATGCTACCAGTAGCGGTCCAAGTTTCTGTTGATGGATCATACAACTCAGAACTGTTTAGAGTACCATGACTATTGTATCCGCCAGTAACTAACACTTTTCCATTTGGTAATACAGATGCTGTATGGTCACTTCTTGCATTATTCATGCTAACAGTAGTTGTCCAAATTTCTGTTGATGCATTATACAATTCAACACTATTTAGAATAATACCAGTACGTCCACCAGTAACTAACACTTTTCCATTTGGTAATACTGATGCTGTGTGGTCATATCGTGCATTATTCATGCTATCAGTCATTATCCAAGTTTCTGCTGATGGATCGTACAACTCAGCATCATTTAGAGCATCAACGCCAGTATATCCACCAGTAACTAACACTTTTCCATTTGTTAATACGGATAGTGTGTGATAATCGCGTGTGTAATTCATGGTACCAGTAGTTGTCCAAGTTCCTGTTAATGGATCGTACAGCTCAGAACTATTCAAAGCACCATCACTCCATCCACCAGTAACTAACACTTTTCCATTTATTAATACGGTGGCTGTATGGCGAAATCTACCATGGTTCATGCTGTTAGTAGTAGACCATTCTAGATCGAAACATTTGAATATTTTTCTTTTGATCTAATTATCTGCGCAAAGTTTTAGATTTTGTAAAATGAAAATCGTTTATTGCTTTTTATAGAAAGGTTTTTGAATTTCTGGAACTGCAGAAAGTCTTATGTTCATTATAATAAATTGTTCATGATAGGATACTTCAGCCAGAACAATCGTTCCAAATTACGGAGCGCTTTGAAGTATAGCGTAAAGGGCGTCGTTTAGGGGTGTTTTCGTCGAAAAATGATACTTTGTATTGGGACCCTATTTTCACCATATATTGCCTTATTTTCACGATTTTTACTCTATACGGCTTAATTTTTCTACTCTAATTAGGCTACAGGCGGCACTCTGCATACACTTTCTATCAGAACGAAACGTTTTATTTCATAAACAGAATTTATACAGAGAGATTGACATCCACATGCTATATCGGAAGATGACCCGTGAATAAAAAAGTGCACATAAGCAATTATTTTACTCATGTGCCAAAGCATAATCAAAAAGTCGTTCAGATTAACTAGTTTATTAGTTAAAATACTTTAATTTCAAGAACACATTTTTAAATAAGAGATAAACTAAGACTTTTTTTCACTATTTTCAAAAGTATAAGAGTTTGTTTTTCCGAGCTGAAGCGCGCAATATTATGATTAGAACTTGAGGGAACTTCTGATTGGCTATCCAGAATCCAAAAGAATGAACTCTATCATCTATAATGCTTACCTATGAAGAGAAGCAACAAATTAAGAATATGCGAGAATGCGTATTTTTCCTCGGTAACATGACATCGAGATCGTGTTAATCATTACGTGCTATAACACAGAGATCTTCTGGAAAGACACAAATTGTATCGTCGAACAGATTTCAAGAAAAGCTATCTATTGATGTGTGAAATCGTTCAAAAAAGTAAAGTTTAAGGCAAAAAAAAGAGTGAAAAACAGTTCGATCTCAGCAAAGTGCTTCATCGAAACATTCGGGTATGGTCTCATAGCAACGATAAATAAGATTATCTAGACTTATCTACCATAAGTCATCGAAGAATGTCATATAATAGTTTTAAGATATTTTCTTCAATTCCGTATGAAAACGACTTTAAACCCGGAAAACACGGCGAGTAGAACGATAGTCGCAACGGCAACCTTTTTTGCCGCTTACCACTTTGATAAAGAATGTATACGTGAATAACAGATAAATTAGATTTGTATTTTCTACCTGTCATTACATTACTTACACGAATTAATGTATTTTTAATTATATGCAGCTTTGATTGGTTACATTGACCCTAATGAAGCTTTCTAGACGAAGAAAGTACGAGAGGTATTTGTCGGATCAGTGAAATTTTTACACAAATTTTAAGATACTCCAGAACATCTCAATCACATAAGTCATGAAAATCATTAAAACCCAATCGATATTTTTCGTAGACTATGAGCAATCTAGAGTGCTTTTTGATAAATTTTTCAATTTCAATTGACTTTTGCTGATTTACCAATTCAAGGTAATTTTCGATGATTCTGATATGAGTAAAGAGTCTGATTCCTCTTGTAAATTACTTAAAATCATAAAAGTCTTTCTAAATCAGTCAAAATCGCTTCGAATCACATAAATCAAAGATACGTTCTTCGCCATTATTCAGTTGAATATTTACTATATAAATTTTCCTCTTTCTATTAATAACATTTCGGCAACGATGTGTGTGAAAATGTACATGTTTATCTTACGTTATGTGTGTTTTTATACTGAAAATAGTCTGATGAAGTCAATATCGTTGACGAGACGTCACTAAATAAAGATCAAATAGTAACAGCAGAAAATGTCTTTCCTTACAAGTCATGATTTTCGTCCTTATTATAACAGCCGATTGATTGGTTTAAAAAAGTTTATTTTCATAAATGATTAAATATCTACAACTATGATTGATTAGAAGGATTGTATGTTAAAAAGTACGGTAGGTATTAATACTAAACGAAGAAGAAGAACTGATTTCGTTGTATAGATATCAACAAAGCAAAGCAAACTACGATAGTGATGAAAAATCATCAACACGAGTATTACTATTGCTTCATTGTTTCTTATGATAAAATTTGAATCACTCATGACAAGACCATGGATTCTTTTAATGAAACCTTTAACTAGATGTAGAGTGCTCATGTATCCGAACTCAGGCTCGGGCTCGGTTTCAATTTTGTTAATTTTTATTTTCTTGTCATTTCCAGGACGTCCTACTCCTTTGTTAGAGCGAATTGTAAATAAAAATATACCGCTATTGAGGTATGAACGCTAAAAGTTATAAACTATGTATGCGAAGATAAAATTGAGAAAATCAAAGCCGAGCCCAACCCTGACTTACTGCGAGAGATTCAGGTTCGGTACATGCCTCATGCAGAGTAACACTGAATAGTTGTCATTAACCATGGGACATTTACCCAAGTCATGAGACAGATTTTCAATAGGTGACCCATGGGTTAACGCAAGAGCAACGATGTACCCAGAATTTTTTCTAAGAGGATGCCCTTCAGCGGAAAAAACCCTTGGTCTTGCGAATAGTTTTAGCCGTGTACCTCCTGCAAGTATTTTTTCTCCAGAGGTGCCTGGGCACCCTGTGGCTACGCCTATGCCCAATAGAAAAGCTTGTCGAATGAATTTATCATTACCGCTAAATTTATTGACTAATCGGCAAAGCTGATTGACTCTGCCCAGCCCAGGTCGAAGTGAACGGTGAAAGAACGCGTTCCGAACACAAGAACGTATGGAAACATGTTCGCCAAATGTTCGGACTGTGTTCGATAGTGTTCGTCCGTTTAATACGCTACAAACGCGTTTTGAATGGACGAACATTATCGAACGCAGTTCGAACATGTAGCGAACGCGTTCTCGGACCGTTCGCCTCGACCCGGAAATCAATTATAAAAGGCGTTCCGAACAGTGCAAAGAATGCATTCGGAACACGTTCTGTGATCGTTCGACTCGATCTGGGCTGTTACAGGCTGCAACATAGTCATGATTTATCAAAATGTAATACCCTCTTTTCTTATATAAAAGATTGAATAATTCATTACGAAACAAATGATTTTTTAGTGTAGTCTTTAACTAGATGCACAGTGACATTGAATGTAAAGCACCAGCATATGGCTACTTCAATATTAGCACTTAGCGAGTTTAAGAAGTGTGACTCTATAACTCACGTGACTGTGGAGTGGTGGTGATTGTTGTTGATGTTGATATTGACGTTAGTGTTGTCGTTAATGTTAATATTGACGTTGACGTTAATGTTGATATTGACGTTAGAGTTGGCGTTGATGTTGAGGTGGATGTTGACGTTGATGATAGTGATGTTGATATTGTTGTTACTGCTGCTGGAGTTGTAGTGGTGGTGATGCTGTCTGGCTTCTTCGGAGCAAGAATGACGAATTTTAACAATAGAGAGAGAGTAACTGCAAAAATTGTTAAAATTATAAAAGAAATGCAAATGATCTTAAACCAACGATGATGCCACCATTTGCGTGGTCGATTGTTTCTAGTGGTATGGCCGATATACGCTTGGTTGGTATGCATATAATGTTCTACAAGAAACTTAAAGTCAAAAATGAACGAGCTATTCTTAAAAGCTGCTCTATATTTGTTTATCACTCTCACAGGAGTAACAAAAGATAAATCATNTACGAGCGTATTGTTCCCATCCAATCGTAAGACGAAGAGGAGATACCCTTTCTAGTACAGTGGTTAATACGTCTGCCCGGTAAGCAGGAGGTGCATGGTTCGATTCCATCCGAAGGGGGATTCTTTTTCTCCGTTCTGTCGTCATTCGAAGATAAGAGATATAACATAAACATCTAGTGTTTGTGGATTTTTTTCACTCACAATCATCTCTCGAAATGTAGCACAGTCTTTAAATAATATTTTCTAAAAATAAATGACATGTTTGGAACAATTGTGGAATTGTATAAACCATCGTAGCGAGTATATTTTTATCAGATGGTGACAACAACTCTAAGCCCAAATGTTCTAATATGATAAGTAGGACAACTAGTCTATAATAATTTCTAGTGTTTATGTAAAAGTTGAAAATTGCATCTCAATATCACAGTGACTGAAATAAAACGTGTCAGGTCCAAGTATGTCACTCGCAATTCGACCAAGTTCTTGAGATGACAGAATTAGAGGTGAAGACCGATGTAGACAAAGGAGGTGGGGATTGAAAATTTTTGAAGCTATTTTACGAAAGGACACCGCCGGATTAAGTCATAAATCTGCCACCCTTTAGTTTTTATTTTCAATATGATAAAAAGATAGAGCTTGAAATTCTACACATTTCTGTATATTTTGTTTAGTTTTTTATTGAAGAGAAAAGAATTTTTCCAAGATCATTTGGCGTTGGGGTCTGTGAGTTTTTTTATAAGTTTTCAATGTTTTAGATGGTAATTGTATTAGCTATAGTCGGGTGTGGGTGTGGGTGTTACCTTCATAACCGCCGAAACTCACACCCACACCCCTAATTATTTTGCATATTTTTTATAGACAAATTTCAATAAAATATTGTATACGATATTTATCGTAAAAACAGAAGATATTATATGTTCTTCATACGAATATCGTATACAATATTTTATCGAAATTTATTCATAGTATTCAAATGTAAATGAGAAACTGATTATACAATCTTGTAGAGTAAATTTTCCTCTACAAAATCTACTATGTCATATTTCTTCAAAATATAGCCATTTTACGATATGTCAATCGTCGTTTAAAACTATTTTTTACAATGTTTAGTATTTTGACTATAACGTTGTCTTTTCTCAACCAAATTCAAAACAAGGTTTTTTTAACAAAATAATCATTAAAAAAGGTTCTATAAAATCGTATATGAAAGAAAGTCTTTCATGTTTTTTATGATTGACTTCCTATGGAATTAGTCCAGTAGAAAGATTATAACTCGAGAAGCAAGACTTGACTGTATGTGTCTTTTTGATAGTTTCATCTAAATTAGTAATTTTAATTATGAGAAAATATGAGTTTAAATAGAAAGTATTAGTTAGCGAGGTTTCCCATTAAGAATAAATTATTTTTCAAATAAAAAAGAAAAAAAAGAGTTTTGGTATGAAACTTTTTGTTTCTAACGACAGATTTAATCGACAAATGAATGAAGATCTGCGCGAATACAAGCAGAAATTATACTCTGAGAGTAAAGACACCCATCACGATATATGAATAGACGCATCAAACCTTATCCACAATCATGCACAACTATATATATTTAGGTACAGAGACGAAAAGCCTAGCATCACTTAACATGTATTCTCATCTATTGACGCAGTACATGAAAATACATGACAATACAGGTTAAGTGATTTTAGGTTTTTTCACACAGTACATATAGGATAGACGAAACTGTATATATTTAGGCAATACAATTTGTGCTCGTATTTGCGCATCTCTGAATGAATATTTATTACGATATTCAACTTTCATATAGACCAAATTACTCTGTTTTTCTATGGTAAATCGTTCATTGTGTTTTCAAAATCGAATGTTTCGATGAAACTATATTGATTTTCTTCAAAACTTTGATAATTATCTAATGACTTTGAAATCGACTTTTAGATAACATCTCAATTCGAAACTTGTAATTTTGATTTCTTTAAAACTATTTTATATACAGTTACAACTCAATTAGAATATCTATAATCCATTATGAATACAGTATGGCTTCTTATTTTAGCTTTATAGTTAAGTAATCATTATTCAAAAAATTGAAATTCATCAGTATGAAATAGTTGTATGTATTTTATTGTTGGTATAATATAGTTATATATAATATCGATTATATAATATTTGTATTATTTATTTTTAAAAATTTGTTTAAATAATAGAAATATTACTTTCTCATTCGAAAAAAAAGATATGATTTATTTTTGTTTTTGCGTTGGCACAAACACGAACAAAATAGAGTGTTAGTGTTCATAATCTGTAGTGATAACATTGTTATTTAATGGTTGATTCTTAAATAATTGTAAATATTGTTACCTAATTAATTCATTTTCATTCCATTGAAATATGAATGCATCATATTTAATAACTTTATTTCTAAGATTATCTGATTTTAGAGAATAAACTTTTAATTTATTTCATAATTGTGTTGTGGTTCGATATTGTTGTTGTTCATTAGGATAAAGTCAGCATAAGTTCATCGATCAGGTACAATAGAAATTCATCCAGCTCTACAAACTTTTAATATTAAAATACAAAAAAACTCATGTTGAGCTATTGATAGAACAACATCATTTTCAATTAAGAATTTTTCATAATCAGATTTAGATTGAACAAAACCCCCATGAAGAAAATATTTCGAAGGTGTGGGTGTGGAAGAAGGAAAAAGACAAAGTAAAAGTCAACACATCTACACACCCAACTTGAAAGAATGTGATAACACAATTACAATCACGAATTTCTATTTAAAATAGTTTCTACATCAACTTCAACATATCCAAATGCTACATGGAATCAGAATGCAACACTGGTTGCATCTGCATATTAAAATAGTACCCATCAATTTTCAGTGGCTGATTTTGCCATCGATACGAATGACAATATTTACGTAGCCGAATACTTCAGTAAACAAATTTTCAAGTCTGCTCCCAACAGTTTCACTGGAACGTCAGCGGCAAGTCCTGGTAAATCCTCAAATTTCGCCATAAACGAAGGTGGGGTATGGGCGTGGGTGGGTGTGAGCGTGGGTGTGGGTGTGGGTGCAGGCGTATGTGTTCTCAGCATCCACAACTTGGCTTCATATTCTCATTCACTTCCACACCAACACTACACCCACACCCTAATCACTCACTACTGGATGAATGGACAAAAACACGAGAAGAACCATTATGAAATTCGAATGCACTATTGAGAATAATTGATGTTTTTCTCAAAAGATTCACGATGTAATACATCGACTAGTGAATAAGACGACAATGATATGATCGAATGTCAAATAGTTAAATAATTTTTTTTTTGGGGAATTTCATTTTGTTACGT